AGGGTGTCTTGACACCAGTAAGTAATCCCATCAAGCTTGCAACTTGTTCTATTGTTGGACTCATGAATCAGTAAGTTGTGAATCTCCTCATGGGTTAGGACACAATCATCAATCTTGTATTGATGTGAAAACTTAGGAATACGATTTTCTGTTTTGGGTATGGAGAAGATTTCACTACATTTGAAGTGAAGTCTGCATTTTGAAAGAATCATGTCATATCCAAAGATAGGCTAGGTGATTTTAACCAAAATGGAAGGCACTGGAACTTTCATTTGTGACTATTCCACAAGTAAGCATCCTTGGGATCCTGGCTTCAGTAATCTCCCTTTTTAGGTCTATAATACTACATTGAGTGACATTAGCTTCATAATAGGACATTCTTTACTGGTTTTCTTGGGAAAAGGGTGGTAACACTGAATTAAATGGTGAATATGGTGAATTTGATTGGTTGATGTCAGTGTTTCCAAAAGTTTAAATTGTTTAATTAAGAACCAAACATTTATTAATTTTGTTTCTATTGTTTTTATTCCACTTTCAGTATTTTGAGGTTAATTGGTTTAGCTGATTTACATCCAGTTTTTAATTTGTTCCTGTGCAATGCCTGTGCAGTGTATATTCTCTTATAACTAGCAGGTTTGTTGTGGAAGGAATTTTAAAGAAGGCCAACAAACTTTTCAGGATTCTTTGAGTGGTACTCATGGTTTTTCTCATACCTTTGCAGGTCTTAACAATTATCCCCGGATCCATTCGCTTGATCTGATATGTGTGTTTCTTGTTTCTGATGTTTGTATACCGTGTCTTGTCTGTAAGTTTGTCTTGTGTAATTGTTGTGTGTGGTGCAGCTCACCTGCCCTTACTATTAGTAAGATCACTACCAATAGTTCATCAGAGATAGTCTCTTGAGATTTCTTATATAGGTTTTTATAATCTCAGAAAATAGATGTCTGATATTTCTACTTCTGGGAAGGGATAAAGTATGTTATGAACATGTTTTCAGGTCTTTTGACAAGTCTGGGTTGTATCCTTCATATCCAAGTACCGAGATTCACTAAAACAAACTGTTGCAGCTGTAATCATAAACATTATCAATTGCGAATTTTAAAACTATCGCTTCTAATTCTTTTACCAAGAACTGATTTGATTTCTTGAAAGTCATTAATAATTCTGATACATGCCAAAATTGAACCTGTGATGATAAATCAAGGATTAAAATTTAAAGCGAATCGGATGGCATTTTGATCTAAAAATCGAAAAATGTATGGCAATAATCATCTGCTGGCAAATCCTATTTGAACAGGTTTTTTGGTACTATATCAAATTATATGATACTAAAATAAATGTTTGGGATACTATCGATCAAATTATTCACAAACTGGGACTTGTCTTTGAGTCAATTTTCCATTGGTCTACATCAACAAGATTACCAATTTCATTATCTCATGTCTACAGAGGCACAATAAAATATAATATTTTTCTATATTTTTATTTTGTTATAAAGTCAATTTTTGGGTTCCAATTCTTAAGCAAATTGTCGAGGAAAAACAAGGTATGGACTTTCCACTGCTTGGACACCAGAAATCCCAAATTTGAAATTTCCAATTAAAAAAACTTACACCCGTTTAAAGGAAAAAACGTGATTATTTTTTCAACAATATAATTTTCAAAATAATCTACTTAATAATAGTTTCATTTATGTTCAATATCTCTAATTTGCTAAAAATCATCTTCAATAACTGGACATTTTGACCAGTCTTTGACCTTTTCTTCAATCTATATTAATCGTTGTCGTGGGTTTCTCTAGGATTTAAATGTAACAGCACTCTAATTAGGCAGTCAACCCATAAAAATCCAACCAAAGCATCAGTGAATGATCATCATGCGAGTGTGAGGAATGATAGCTACTTCTCAAAATTCATTCCATTGCAAACAGAACATTATGGAGGATCAATTGTATGGATGGTTGGAATAGGATAGGTTTTCCTTTTGAAATTATGTATGTCTTCACCTTTTACATATCCTGCTGCACTTAAAGCAGTTGGATCAATGATATTTTAGGAGTAAAAATAAGAAAAGGTGTTTTCATGAAGATTACAGTGGAGTTACTGGAGAGATTTATACCTGCAAGGCCAAAGCAAAGAAACTAATTATTATTAGTTAGACCAAGCTTATAATATGATACAGATTTACTAATTGGACTAGACTGAATAGTGCCTGAAGTCATTTGTCGCTTATTACTGGCCTTCTTTCCACAAAATATGTTAAAGCTGCCTGTCTTAGTTTTGGCATTTTCTACAGCTGATTGAATCCCTTCTACTTCTTAGATCCTTGAGGCAACCATGACCATCTTCCAAACATACTAGCTCTTGTGGTTGGACATGCAGGAAAACTATTTGTTTACCTCCAATCTATGTTTTGTGACAATCAGCAGAAATTTTGCATTTGTACAGAACATAATTACAGGTAAATTGGATTATACCTTTCTTTATTAAAAATCGTTTTCCTGTAAATCTTGGTAATTGTAACAAACTATGATAGTTCAGCAAGCTAAATGTTAATTTTCACTGTACTAAAATCTCCATATATGCATATTATTGTTTTCTGGCCAAGCTAAAATATTGTATCTATCTCCTTGATTTCAAAGGAAAAGACAAAGAATACTTAGATTATATAGGAAAAGGGAGACCTTATTATGAGCCACATGATTTCATAAAAAGCTTGTTGTTGTTTATTATTATTAAACAAAATTATACTAGTTAAAGATAACAAAATATCTAACTGATAAAATAAAAAAAATAATTTTGTTATAAGATGAATGGTAAACACATGGAGTACAACATAGTAAGAAGTAAATGAATATCAATTGAAAGCCTGTAAAATTAGATGACATTTCAATATTTCCTTAAAGATTGGTTGTCAGGCTACTACTAAGTTTTTCTTTTTAGAGTTCAATACTTTTGTTCAACTTTAGTATGGTGTACAGGAGAAGGTTAATACCAAAAAACCTTCAAAAGGAATTAGTGGTGGGTCTTTCAGTATTTTGACTAGTCTAAAATATACACCCACAACAGCCAATTTTAAGTCATACAAACAGTCCATAAGGGTTGTCTTAATAAAGAACTGTTCCCATCAGATACAAGTTTAAATTTACATGGTTTTTATAAAAGGTGATCAGAAGATAATCTGAGACTTCTACTAGATGAACACAATTCTAAAAGTTAAGTTGTATAACATGGTGCCATACCATTTACACACTTTAAAGTTAAAAGAAGAATCTTGAATATAATCCTTGAGTGGCATTTAGCGATTGAGCACATTAAAAAATACAACACAATTTACTCTTTCACTTCTCTAACCTGAGTAGAAAATGCCAATTTTTGAACTTAGACAAAGTAAGGATGTTAAAATTATAATCAAAGTTACTGTGTTTCAAAGCATTGACACATCAAATTGCATATAATGTATGCAGAAAAGGTTTATCATTGAACCCGGTCAAGATATTCATTAATGAGCAACTAAACCAAGTTTGAACATTCTACTGCAATTAGACGCAGATTGTGTTACAAAGTCTCAATGGATGAAATTGATTATCTCTGCTTTGCTAAAGCATTCTAGAACATTACTTTTACAAGCAGACCAGCAGACAGACATTGCTTATTATGATCATGACGTAAAGAACACAGATAATTCTGAAGCTCATGAAACTGATAATAATGATGGTGATGACTGGAATTACAATAATTTACTACTTTTAATTGCAAAATGTCCTCAGAGATAAAAAGAAAATTATGAAAAATTCATTTGCCAAGAGCAGTGCAGGTCTACTCCACAGTCCATACAGGAACCCACCTTTTGCTGTTCATATTAATGGTAATGGTAATGTTACAGATAATAGTTAAACTGCTATCAATGACGATAATCATGCTGCCGATAATATTGACAATTTAGTGTTGATAATAATGATATTGATTATGATAATGGCGCTGATAATAATGATGGTGTTGATAATAATGATGTGATGATAATGGTGATGCTTATAATGATAATGGTTCTGCTGATAATGGTTAGGGCCTGATAATGATAATGGTTAGGGCCTGATAATGGCACTGGGCTAATAATGATGTGATGATAATGGTGATGCTTATAATGATAATGGTTAGGACCTGATAATGATAATGGTTAGGGCCTCATAATGGCACTGGGCTAATAATGATCCTGCTGATAATAACAATGGTGTTGATAATATAAATGAAATAGGGTTTAACATCATACTGTTCCGCTCCGATTAGGCTAATGAAGACAGGCATGCATCATGCAGTGAAATTTTGCCAGAAAGTGGTGCTTCGGCCTACTCTTATTTTGAATTCTGTCAAGGTTTCTTTTATGTGCATGGTAATGTGAACACAGGAACTTGTTTTTTCGTTCCATCCAAATGACTATGTGTTGTCCCTTACCACACTCACCGTCCCGCAACACTGACAAGGAGGAGCCACGCCGGAAAGTCCTCATGAACTTTTTTTGCCAATGCAGGGATCAAACATGGGTTCTCCAGGTTGGCAAGCCAACATTTTACTCACTGAGCAGCTGTGGCTCCACATGTTGATAACAATGATGATATTGATAATGGTGCTGCTGGTAATTGAAATGATGGTGCTGATAAAGATTTAGTACTACCAGTGCAGCTGTTAATATCAATGATGACAACGGGGTTGATATCAATAACAATCACAATGATGATCATGATGCATTATATCAATCAGGATGCTAGAAATGAGGAGAATGATAATGATGAGGTTGTTTATAATGTGGATGCTAATATCACTATTCAGAATAATAATTATGACATAATGTGGATTGAGGTGATAATGGTGTTTCAGCCGCTCAAGGTGGTGACAATTGTGATGACCATGCATAATTTGTAATTTGTAATTCTGGGAGAAGTCACTCCTTTTATTCCAACAGTGCGGTAAATGAACCATAAAGTAAAAATATATCAGTCTTACCTGCTTCAGCGGCAACCATAGAAGCATTAAATTTAGGGTTTGGTTGAACTCTAAAGGTTATTTTATTGACAGATGTTCTGGAAATAAAAGAATATAAAATACATCTTTGATCAAGAGTAATTTTGATGATGGAGGTAACATGGGCTTCTTAATACCTTTAAAGAACATAGGGTTGTTTCTTAAGATCAAACATACATGTAAGTGAGTTTTGAATAAAGGATCCCAAATCACCTATTTCCAAAGGAAAAAATCTCCACCAACCCCCTACTCACCATGTCATACAAACTACTATACTACACCATTGCTGTATCTCTGACAGTTTAAACTTATTTGACAAAATCAGAGTCTTTAAATTTGCAGTAATTAATTTAAATAACACCTTATTTCTGAAGACCCCACACCCACATTCTACGCCCATGATGGTTGACATATCTCCTCTTGTTGGGTCACAGGAGTTAAATTTGATACAATAACCTTGTATTTAAAGAATAACATATAGTTTGTGACATTCATTGTCGATTTATTTTAATACTTGGGCATATAAGGCAATGTTTTAAATGTGTCACATACTTCAGATATTAATTAAACTTCATATCTCCAACACCTACATATAGCCTACATTATAACATCTGAAGATGTTGAAATAAGAGTAGACAGCTACCTATGATTTAATGTACTTCAGAATGAAGACTTAAAAGTGGTTGTTTTTTAACTGGATGTATTTTTATTCTTTTATGTATATATATATGTATTACCTATATCTGAGATTTGATGAAATCAACTTACTTTACGAGAGCAGACATAGGCACAAACCTGAGATATCATTTTGAATTCCAAGATGTGAATCAACAGAATTATTTGGAACCTGCTATACAGAATTCTTTCGAGAATGATGATAACCCAAGCAAAAGCCATGCCGTGGGCTATAGTGCAAGTATTAGTATTTTTTTTTAATGATTACAAAGTCTGAAATTACTATCTTAGTTTATATTATGGTTTGATTAGCATGTATGTCTCTATTAGACTCTTTAAGGCAATTTTTTTTCTGATTTTCTGATGTCACTTCTTACTTTATTAAAGCTATATTACTAAATATAAGACAAATAGAGCTCTAAGATCTTAAACTGTTACTGTAATGAAAATCTAATAGAACAATAATCAGCTGTTATCTATGAACTGCTTTTTTCTTCTCTGCAGTGTATTCAATCTTTTATTTTCATATAGAAATACTGGCATGGGGTACAGTACGGATCTGACATTCTACTGCTCAAAATTTCACTAATTGAGGGTTTAATTTACCATTTTGACAAATTAACATTTTCTGTTGTCTGGGCAAAATTCTCCTACCTCACATTGTATGGGTAACTATATATGTTTGTCTCAAAAAGACCAAAGTATTGAGTTATCTTTTCTTTGTTTTATTAGTATTAGCTGTCAACATTAGAACTATTCTACCATTTCATTTATTTCTATGATATAAAATATCTGTTTATTAATCAGAAGCCAAGTCATGTTGTACCTGTAGCTTTTACTTCTAATTACAAGCTATAAATATAGGTAAGCTGCTTACCTGAAAATAAGGACAATCTTAACAAGAAGACAAAACCCAGACCTAGTAGTTTGCTTAGACTGATGAATTAGATTTTGACCAATATTTGACTCAAGGATTTTCTTGTCATTTAATCAAAAATATTACTAATCTGAAAACCACTGTTAGCAAGAATAATTCTCTATAATCAGTATTTGCCAAAAGCACGTGACTTTTTATGAATATATTTCCGAATTGATTGAGTAAAAGAATTAATGGATGAGAGATAAGCTGAAGATTGATCTGACTAATCATAGAGAGGGTGATATTTATGTTTTTGAATTATTTCCAACATAATTTCATAATATGCCATTATAAAAAAAGACTATGGCAAATATTCTCTTATGATTACTCTCATGCCTGATAGTAGCAACACCTAAAATTAGAGTATGATAAGTATATGAATATTCATTTTTTATTTCTTAATATGACTACATTTGTTCGTCTTTTGATGCCACATGAATCAAACCTTTTCAAAAAATGAGAGAGGTGTGTATGTGTGTCTTTGGAAGTTAACCAGGCAACCAATACCATTGGTAGAACAATAGAATCAGACCCCGAGTTAACAAAGCATTCTCAGACTTAAGTTAAGAATTTACTCAAAATTTTTCTCCTTATTTTAACTAAAATATAGCCCTTTATAAAACTTTTGTTGTTTTAATGTATCAAATACATCAATAAGATACTATGTGAAAAGTTTTGTGTTTCTGAATGAAAGACATTCCTTATAAACAGTGATTAAAAATGGGGTAAATTCTCAAATACATCAATAAGATACTATGTGAAAAGTTTTGTGTTTCTGAATGAAAGACATTCCTTATAAACAGTGATTAAAAATGGAGTAAATTCTCAACTTAAGTCTGAGAATGCTTTGTGAACTTGGGGACAGAGATCATATTTAATCTGTTAATTCAAGAATATACTTTAAACCAACATGATTTTGCAAACATGGCATCATTTTGATTGGAACTAATTGTTCGGTGGGAATTTGATATTATATATGTCTTTTATAATTGTGCATAATAATAAAACAAAGATATTTATACATTATGCAAGAGGTAAATCTGGTACTGAATTAACTACATCCACGGCAAGGCAGAGTTTGTTAAATGTTGGTATATTCTTTCACAGAAAAGATGATCAAAAATGATTTCATATTTCAGATAATCTTGATATCTAAAGACTAACTATTTTTTTTAGTATGCCCAACTGCATCATCTATTGTAAATCATAATAGTGTCACATCGCTTCATTCTTTACAAAGCAGCTTTATATAGATCTTATTAAGGAGCATAATATCAGATATTAAAGATATTTGAAATTCACAGAATAAATGTCAGTAAAGCTATTATTTATTCTTTTTACATTACATCTGATTTATATTAACATAGATAATTTTTAAAAATTATTATTCAGCATTTAAATGATTTAAAACAATTTTATTTGTTGAGACCAAACCAAAGAAATGCCATTTAAGTGATTTTTAACTTTCAAGAGAATTTACAACCTCACAAAAAATAATAATTGACATTTTAGAATCTTCCTGTTTTTTAATTAAACTTTGTGAAATTATCTTTTTCAACTTCCAGAAAAATTTATAATGTATATCTAATAACTTCTATTTTTTTTAAAAAGAAATAACTATTATTTTCCATTGTTACACTGATGATACACAAAGCTGGAATTCTACAGATCATCAGGATTCATTTAATAGAATCGCACTGTATACAACAGATATGATATATAAACCATCAGTATATAATAGGACCAAAGAGCAACTTTCAAATTTATCTAGATCTACCATCCAAATTGCTGACTCCCACATAAATATTGTTGACTCAGTTAAGAATTTTGGTGTCTATCTTGATTCTGAGATTTGTATGGAAAACCATGTCAGTCAGTTGTAATAAGGTTTTCTATTCCCATCTCCAATCAAATTAGACATACTTTAACTTGATCAACAGTTTACTCACATCTCGATTAATAGTACAATAGTCTACTCTTTGGTAAATTAGTACTTGATAAACAACCATAACCCTTTGAACCCTCAAAATATTTTGGGTGTCGCATACCCTACCTTGACTTTACAACATGATTTTGCAAACATGTCATCATTTTGATTAGAACTAAGTGTTAGGTCGGAATTTGATATTATATGTGTTTATAATTGTGTGAAATAATAAAACAAAGATATTTAAACATGCATTATGCAAGAGGTAAATCTGCCTATCGTACATCTTTCTTTAGGCCTGAAATGTTATATAAACTATTAATTAATAATCCTTGAGTGGCATTTAGCGATTGAACACATTAAAAAAACACAACACAGTTTATATGGAAATACAATCACTGGTTTATAAGTATAGCACGACGTTTCGACAAGTATTCTCTTATCGTTATCAAGCACAACGTCGAAAATGATCTTGCATAACAGAACCAACACACTTTGAAACCTGTTTCAAAAATACCTAAAAACTGTCAAATCGAGATCTCTCTGATTTACTTTCACAACGATTGTTATACATAATGATACTAGTTATCTGAAAAACAATTGAATAGTTTCAGTGTTGGACTCCAGCCTGCAGGCCGCGTGGATTTCCGAGAATCCCAGTCGAGGAAAACCAACGTTATTAATCTGTGACGGGAAAACAAGCATCTGGCGACGAGATTAAAAGTTTGCAAACTTTTTATGAGTTTTTATGAATTTCGCCAGAACATGGAAGCAGATAAAAACGACAAATGCATTGTACATAGTAGTTCACAGGATATATATGTTGTATTGGTAAGTGTTAGCGGGGAAAATTTTGGCAGGCTTTGTGACGCGGCCTGCAGGCTGGAGTCCAGCCATGGAATTATTTTATTGTTTTTTTCAGACAACTGGTATCATTATGTATAGCATTCGTTGTAAAACTAATTCGGAGAGATTTTGATTTAACAGTTTTTACGTATTTTTGAAACAGGCTCCGAAGCGTTTTGGTTCTGTTATGCAAGATCATTTTCGACGTTCCAAAGTAAATGTTTGGTGCTAAGACCACCTAAAGATAAATTTGAAGTGTTCCTATTATTAATTATAACAGGTTTCGCTTTGGTTTTTATATTTTACACCGAGGTTTATTACTTTAAATCTTCCAAGTGCTAAAACGGAAAATGTGACCTTTTGACCCCTGGGGTCACAAAGAACAAAGGTGAATTTAGCAAGTTTACATTTTATTAAAAGTGTGATTACTTTCGATCATTTTCAGCTTATTTTCATGATACAAGAATGACCGCGCATTCACTTTCAGTGCAAATGAACCCATTTGACCTTTGACCCCGAATATCTCGAAAACGCCCCAACGGCAGACTGATTACCACTCGGCATCATATCCTACGCAAAATTTTACTCTAATAAAAGTTGGATCTGGTTTTGTGCCCATTTGATGGACACCCCTCGGCACTGAGCCTCCAGACTACAATATTCATCCAAGGTAATTTAAGTGGGAGCACGGCCACTGGACTCTTGACTAGACCGTCCCAGGTTATAAGCACAGCATTTGCCACAGTCATGAATTTTGACCCATTTACACACTGAAAATTGTATGGAACAGTTCCAGGTTACAGACTGAGTGCTAATAATTTTTCTTTTGGAAATCTATGAAATAGATGGCCATTTTGTAAAGCTGAATTTTCATTTAATTGGTCTATAACTATGCTCTTTACGTATCTGGCAGTGTATCAGTGTACATTTTAACATCACCACCCAAATAATCCTCTTCAACAGATGTCATTGAAATAGGCCAAAGCACATGTATTATAAAATAAAATCTATTATTAAATTATTTAATATTTTTCAGGATTTTTTACTTTCAAACAAGCATAGCAAAATTCAGAAATAAATTACACATTGAATTTGAATATTCTTGTTTTGTGTTCTTTTTTATATATACCGGTATATAAACACTATTTTATTCAGGATATGATTGAGGAACAAGCTTAGAATAATCTTATCACTCGGAATGATTTCTCAGATAAACCAGGCGAAGCAATTAATTTTCACCAACAATATGTAAGATTCCGATAAAGAGCTCGTCATTCTTGCTAAAATAGTTTAAAAATAGATAAAGAAAAATGAATGCATTGAAAATGTCAGCCAAATTACAATAGGCAGATTCGGCCCTTACATAATGCATCTTTAAAGATATTGTTTTTTTTATTATTATAGAAGTTATGAACACTGTAAATAGTCTTCTATATATAATAAAATATAGGTAAATACAACTAACTCCCAGCTAATATATAATATATATATATAAACTAGATTAAAGAAAGACACCAAAATACTAATTTAATGGCAAGCGCTTTCTGTTCGTACTGAACATCTTCAGGCCATTTTTATTTATGAAAGATTACATAGAACAATAGACGCAACGTGATGATGTTACTATAAATATATTAAATACAACATAATAATATTAACATATTTCTACATTTAGTAAATAATCAATAAAAAAAGAATTATTTCATCTCTTATTATAATATTCATTTACTTAATTCTTGTTTGTATTTTTTGATGAAATAATTTTCTTTACATTCAAGTAAATCATTATTTAAAAAATTCAATTTGTACAACGTATTTCTCTTTTACAAACTGAATTTTTTAAATAATGATTTACTTGAATGTAAATAAAATTATTTCATCAAAAAATACAAACCAGAATTAAATAAACGGATTTTATAGTACGAGACGAAATAATTCTTTATTTATTGATCATTTACTAACTGTAGAAATATGTAAATATTATTATGTTGTATTTGATATACTTGTAGTAACATCTATTGTTCTACGTAATCTTTCATAAATAAAAATGGCCTGAAGATGTTCAGTATGAACAGAAAGCGCTCGCTGTTAAATTAGTATTTTGGTGTCTTTCTCTAATTTGTTTACATATATATATATACATATATATATACAATATATTTATATATTTGCAACTGTGTAAATAATTTCAGCTTGCTTATTTTGTATCGATGGATTGTATGATAATATTACTAACTAAATCGTCATTTAAAAAGTCATATTTTACTTGTGCTTAAAGAAATAAGATCCTAATTTGATCATGTAATATCACCCAAAATGATTTATTTTTAGAAAAAAGGCGAATCCATTAACAATAACAAAGAAGAATGCTTTACCAATTGAATGAATTTATTCTTTAAGAAAAAAGAATAAAATATGAGAAAGAGGACAATCTATAATAAGAAGAATAATATAGTCTAACTAATAATAATCTCGAAATTTTCAAAGATTAAAAGTACAAGATGTTTGCCCTATAAAAATAAATAGCAAATGATTATGAATTCCTAAAACTGCGACATCAAAAATAATTCTATCACTACTTTTTTAACATCAATCAAAAGATCCACCTCGATTTCTGAAACTTGAGAAATGAGAAAAGTCACAGCAGAATTTGGAGACAAAAAAAGTTTTAAGGAAAGTAGTGCTGCGGGCCACCATTTTTTTTCATCAAAAATTGTGATTACTGCTCGGAGGTTTTCCTCTATCTGTCTTTTGGCTTCAAAAGGATGAAAACCAACATTAAGATGGCTTCTTCATGATAGAAAGAAATTCAATGGTTTCTTGTAACTGCAGACAAATTTCTTGATTGACAATTTTTAGGTCTTCTGTTTAATATGTACAGTGAGTTCTTGTAGGAGATCTAGTTGGAAATCACATCATTATGTTCACAACTGTTAGGTGAAATCGACATTTTGAAAAACTAGTAGCCTACATATGATTACTTATTGAAACCAGTGATATACACCACATGCTCCCACAATGTGGACAACCAATAGGAACCTAGAAAAATCCATAACCATAGGTTGCCATGCAACTAACCATATTCGCACTTTGTCATGAAAAGGTCAGATGATAAATTGATAATTGTACCCCGAAGAGAGTTTTTCGATAATCCCAAAAGTTAATGTCAAAAATCAAGTTAATGTTAGAATTCGAGGACATAGGAGGGAAACTTTACATATTTCAGAGAAAGATGATGATAACTGTAACCTTTAGAGTATTAACACTGTTTTGAAACACACAAAACAAATCTTAAAGATAATGCCACAAATGGTGAAAACCAAGAGGACTCTTCTTTCTTGGAAGTTTAGCATATATGACTGAAACAAGAGCCCTGGAAGTAAATATGCAACACTTTCAACTTTCCCTCAATGAAGAATTTGAGCATTTATCAAAGATATAAGGGACAATAGATTGCGCTGAGTACATTCTTACCATGCTCACAATTTGTTCTTATTTTATAGTAGGTGATACTTACTGAATCTCATCTAAGTCAGAGAATGGAAGGTTGATAACAGAAAAAAACTGTTGTAGAAATCGTCCACCTGTTACTTCATCCACACTGAAATTATAATGATAAACATGATTCATTTGACAAATGACTCTGCAAATGTTATTTCTCTGATGTATGTTTAATCTGAAAGACCATGGGAATAAGATGAACAGAGCCTTTTTAACATATAGTAGGACCAACGCCCTCCTGAGCTACAGGTACTGTGAGATCCCCAGTCCAGGAAATATTTACCCACAGCCCACCCCTGGTATACAGTGTTCGTTTTTGGTGTAGTATGGTTACTACAAATATATATACCATACAATATATTAAATGAACCCTTTTTTAAATAGATTTAAAATACCTAAATCCATATTCATCAATGAAATATAATTTTTCACTTAAAGATTATAGCCCCTATAGATCGTGCCTTAATCCTGGCCCCCCTCCACCCTACCCACAATCCACCACCAAAAGGATCAGGGCCTGAATACCTTAACAAACCAGCCGCTGCCAGGCAAAATCAGATGAAAATTTGACCTCTAGAGTGTTTGCAAGCTAAAAACGTGATTTTTTGTACAATCAGGGGCCATAATCCCTGAAGTTTTGATCCGATACATGCCATTATCGAAAGGAACCGAGATCTTTCGGAGATAAACCTATATTTCAAGTTTCGTCGGATAAGAATTGTGACCTGTAGAGTGCCCACAAACAAATTGTGGACGTCCGGACGGACAGGGGTGACGGCAATATACGTGCACATGAAAATGTGGGCATATAAAAAAGTCCTTTAATTTCATATTTTATTTTTTACCTGGCTTGATTAATTACATTGATGAAATAAACGAAATATTTTACAAATAACATATGATTACAGCAAAATTTCAGCTGTGCAAAAAATATTTTATGATCAATAAGTGCTGTTCATTTTCTGTTAGAAAAGATCAATGAAGAATATAACCTTTCAGCATAAAATAAACTTTAAATTAATAGTGTATCTATAATCATTATATAAATTTGCGATAATCTTTTTTATACAAAAAACAAATGTTTTTGAAAATTTTGTGTATAATTTATTTAATCATTTTTTAATTGAATCAACTATATCTTTTAAATCACTAAATCTAGATAAATTTAATAATAATAATAAATCTATTTTTAAACAATCTTTTACTGCACATAATATAAATTAAGTAAACCTGTATTGTCACCACCATGGTATATATAAAGGTGTCACAGGATTATTTCAAGCACTCATTTGGTAAAGTCTTTTAAACGGAACTTTATGAAGATGTTTGTATATGCAAGGATTTTAAATATCTGTTTGTATATGCAGGGATTTTAAATATCTGTTTGTATATGCAGGGATTTTAAATATCTGTTTGTATATGCAGGGATTTTAAATATCTGTTTGTATATGCAAGGATTTTATATATCTGTTATATAAACACTTAAGAAAATCAAAACTATGGACTTCAAACAAATCTAAATTTGCTGTCTAAGCAATTTATATTTAGCATTTAAATCTCCATGAAATAAACTCTTTCAATTCATTTCATGGTATCTTAAAAATTAAATTAAAATTGCCTCCATTATTTTTCTAAGATGTGTCAAATTTCTTCATCAATATTGCCAACTGTCGGTCTGGCTACCAAAAAATCGTGAGATTAAACTTTGTAATCTTGATGATACAAGTTTTATACTCCATTAAGGGATGAGAGCAAAAAACCGAAAGGATTATTTTTTGTGATGCTTTTCAGATATGAATTTAATCTAGGAGCTAATCTATTACAAATATTTCAGGAACTGATGTTTTTGGGCTAAAAAAAGGGATGTATTATCAATATCATTACCAGATAATTCCAGGAATTAATCTTACTTTCAAAACTTTCATATCTTGATAAAATTTCTACAAGAAGTACTGGATAATGATAGAGTGTAATATCTTCAGAATAAACCACAAAGGATATATCTGAATGAAAACAAGCCACGATTTTAACTGTAATAACATGCACTCAAATAGAATGATATTAATGTATAAGAAAAACAAATATTGCAAATATTATAGACCACACTGATTACAATGTGTTTTGAAATTAATCTTGGCTTTTAGTTCTCTATTTTTATCTCTATACACATACAAGATTCCTGTTTTTCAATGCTCCTGCTAAAGGCCTGATAATATTGAAATAAAATTTAAGAAATGAAATGGGGTTTAACTGTTCTTTTCTGAAGACCGGCATATGCCATACAGAGTGATATGAGGAAAATTTTGTGCGGACAGCGGCACTATGGCCTACTCTTATGGCGAATTTCAACTGTCGAGGGATCTTTTACGTGCATGCAATTGTGTACACGGAACCTCGGTTTTTCGTATTATCCGAAAAACTAGACAGCTGTCCTTGTCAGGCCCTCCGTCCTGCATCACTGACACGCCGGAAAATCTGGATGAACTTTCTCGGCCAATGCAGGGATCGAACACCTGAACTCCAGGCTAGCGAGCCAGCATCTTACCCACTTAGCCACCGTGAACCCCCTAAAGTTCATTGCATGAAGATATAAAGAACTTTAAAGTACAAAGTTTAACTAATGGATAGAATGCTGGGGTTTTATTTGTCACATACCTGGTATCAAACTGTCCTGTGTATTAAAAAATGTATTTTGGAAATATTTATAACCTGGGGCCTATTTCACGAAATTTTAACTAAAGAAAAAATCCAAATTTTAGTAGATACTTCAATTTTGATTGGCTAAGCACTAAAATCAATCTAATATTATCCAATCAAATTACTAAAATTTGGACTTTATCTTAGTTAAAATTTTGTGAAACAGGCCCCTGATTTTATTATTAGAGAAGGAATACAGGCTTTGGGATGAAATGTATTTTTATTCTGTATTGGGTACTAGTGCATGGTATTTCTACAACCAGGTTTGGGTATCAACATCAAGATATTTTTGCATGAAACAGGTTTACATTGGGCTTGTATGATGTTGATATACAATACTATATGTGGTCTTGGTTTGGGTTTTGGATCTGTCAGTTGAGATATAGTGTTAGAAAAAATGTGTGGATAGATTCTGCTGTAGGCTATTATCTGTTAGATTCTGTTATCGCTCCAGGACATGTTTATGGTGAATATATATATTTTCCAACATCAACATTTGACATGTTTTCATTTAAATTTACATAGGTAACTATAAAAACAAGGAATTATAGTGAACTGTATTTGTCGTAGAGCTACACCCAGAGTCTGTCCCAAAACGTCAAAAATAAGTTTAATTCAATTTCTTTAGAACCATATATATAATTAATTGTATGACAATACTGGTAACTTTAATCAAACAACATTCATTATATATGTAATGTATCTTTACTGTTACATATTAACTTTCTCTCTTTATTACCATTTTAATAGTCCTTCATTATGAAAGTTGTTACAAACAACTATCTTAGAAGTGTCTTTTTACAAATAATATATAATCTGAACACTTTTTCATGTTTATGTGTCAAATTTGATAGTTCTTTAAATTAGTTTAAATATCCAATTTCCTTCATTTTCACAGAAGATGAAATAATTAAATTATGTCGTGTACATTTGATATATTAATGATTCCACAAAACAACTTTTTCGAATTTTGATAAATTGTTCTTTAGTATGTTGGAAAATGTCAAATAAAGAAATCTGAATATCAAGATTAGTAAAAACAAGAGATTGTTCTAATCAGCTGAGAATGTCAAGAATTGGACATATCTATACTGACCAGATAATTTGTATAAATCTTGTTCAACAGAGACCACAATTCAATTTATTAAGCCGTTTTCAGGGCCACAGTAAATAAACAATTAAATTTTTGAATTCTTAAAGTAATACTTTTAGAAGTTGTTTATGTATACATACATCAGTATTATTATCATTTCGATAGAAAATGAATATGAATGACATGAAACATGGTATCAATACGAAATCAAAAATATAATAACATGTCAGTAGATTTCCTGGTATGAACATCCAAAAATAACTACTCCAAGGACAAAAATACAATTAGGTTCTATACTTACTTTTGATCTAGTACTATGTAGCCATATCTCATATCAACTACATCCCTAGCAGATGTTACCGCTTCTGTATCTATAAATAATAATTATACTTTAACTTCTGATCAGTATATATTTATTCTAAATTATCTATTAACGATTTTCTGTTATAATAGACCAGTTTAGTTCTAACAATATATTCAAATTCAAGTCATTTCAAAATGCTGCATTATCATTGTGTTTTGTGAGTTGTGGAAATTCCAGCAAACTAAAGGGACATAGTGCACCTTGTTTTCCGAGACACAGCAGTATCTGGAAATTTGTTATTAGGGGATTTATTATTTCCAACTTTGGGTGGAGATGTCTCAATTAATTATGTATGGATTTGAATTATTGCTGGTATCATATATAATAAACACTGGCTTTAAGTACATATAATTTTGTTTTGCTCTTGTGTGCAATGAAGAATTCTTTTAGTGAGTATATAAATGCATATAATATAGGAACTTAAATCTTTATCAATGTTATTTCCCTGATCAAATCAAAGAGTCAATTAAAGATTGACATATAATTATGATCTGCTCTTATTTTGTCAGTATATTTAATGCCAAAAATATGAAAATGTGTTCCCTCAGCTGTCCATGCCCTCTGCCCCCACGGACATATGTCTAAAATATTGTCCCTTTAAGGTTCCTGTACCCATACTCTTGGAAACCAAACAACTTTATTTGAAAATATTTGGAAAAGTATTACCCAGTATTAAATTTTCTCAAGGTTCCAAATCTGAACAAACTAACCAAAGGAGAATAAATTGAAAATGACAACATATTCTTTATTTAAAATATGCTGGGAAAATGGTGCTAATTATACTTTAGAATCTACCTATTTTCTTTAAACATTATATAGTTTGTAACACAGAGACCAAGACAAGAATGAACTACAGTTTTCAGCCTGACATCCGCCACAATTCATGTACTGAAACTAACCTTCTGGATTCTCATCTATCGGCTCTTTTTCCACTGCTTTTTTATCAACTGGAATGTCACTGTCACTGTTAATGACAACAGGTTCTTTGCCATTAGCAGTAATGACTGTCTCTTCTGGAACAACTACGGGCACCTCTATGGCAGTGTCTGAATCTGGTGTTAAAATATCTTCTTCTGGAAATGTAAAAAAAATATATAAATTTTATTGTCTAACAAAACACAGTAAAACAAACATTATCAGATATATGCAGGGCTGGATTTACCAATAGGCATATGCATAGTAGGCCATTGGCCTAAAGCCCAAGGGGATCTGGGGGCTCATGAATGAGTTTGGCAGACAGGAAACCCTCTTCTCTCATACATCTATTGATTTACTATTCTTACAGGAGGGGTTGGGCCAGGAATTACACCAATACTAGTCCGAGGTCATTAGCCTGTTTGAACATGACATATGTTTTAAGTTTGTAGACATTTATTTCCAAAAATAACAAATGTTTGTTACAGAGTAGTTTAACATCCTCATTCTCTTTAATTCACAACAGTTTTCTGTTTGAAATATCCATAATGAATACCTGATGATCTAGTCTCTTGTTGTTCTTCATCATCCAGCTGTTTAACCATGATTTCTACGATGTTCATGAGCCGTTTCAACTGGTTCATCTCTATATCATGTGGGTCAATGTTGCCTGAAAACATTAGCATTATAGTCATTGTTCCTAGAAATATATTCTAGATATCCTGATATTCTTTGACATCCTCTTGATTTACCGCCCAAAAATATGAACTTGTTTTCATAGGAGGAGTTGAGGCAATGTGTACATAAAATAGGCTACAAAATATTTTTAAATTACAGTATTTGTTTAGTAATTTATGTCTCAATCATTCCAGTCTATAATGTCTTATAGACCACAACAAATTAGGCCAAATTTGAATACTATCAAAGGTCATACAAAGATTCAAAATGTATTTGAAATGCAGAGTAAATTATTAACTGAGACAATATTGCATGAACTGTATATATGAGCAAATAGTTACCAAACGGTTGCTATTTTGTTCAGAATAATATCTGTTGTTATGGAGATAACATAGGCTAGAATAATCCAGACCATTGGAACTTTTAACATTATTTGTATAATTTTCTTTCAACAAAATTAAAAGTAGGAATAGTTCATTTATATAAACAGCAATGTTTTATTTGGCATTTCGGATATTTCGGATAGTGATACCAGTTTATTTAACTTGCTGAATTTTACTGAGGAAGTAATCATTAGCCATTTCTTGTTCCTATGCTTATCTTTGGTAAACTACATTAATAAATTCACCAGAGAGACGTATATTTCGTCATAATAAAACAAAAGTAGATATCGATTCATCTTAACCAGTGCGGTGTGTTTATTATCTCATATTCATTTTGTTGCCAAGACTTACTTGAATATATTTGTAATTTGAGAAAGGGGTGATATAGGCTATGCCTATTCCATTTACCCCATTTTTATTATTGAGTAATATATTGTATAAGCATAAAAATACCAAATGAAAAACACCTCATTAGAAAAGAAGCACCAGGTGCTTTGAAAAGGATAACAGCCTGTTTCTGAAAATTAAATTGGTATATCGTAAGTCAAGAATTGTGCCAGGAATGGGAATATGGTACACCTTAATACCCCTACGACTGACTGAAAAGTATGTTAGACTTATAGTATAAATATATTGGTTGGTATTTCAAGCCAAGGCAATTTGGAATATTCAAATATTATGAATGGTTGTGGTGGTTGGCACACACTGAATTTTGATAAATAGTGGCCAATAGCCTGTACTGTAACAAACTTTTATTAACCTACTTTCCTGGTCATTAGAATTATCAGACTTTTAGATGACATAATTACATCTTTACCTATAACATTTATAGTTTTGTCCATTACCCATGTATTTCTATTGAATATAAATGTCAACAAAATGTATGTAAAATTTAGGGGGTTGGGTGGTCAAATGGTCTGACACTTGTTCTTTAGAAAAGAAAGTCTGTCACTGAGTTGAGTGGCATGGTTTTGATCAAGTTGGGGTGTGACAAGGAGTAGAGTTTGCTCATGTGTTTTCTCCAAGCTCCAAGTCCTCCAATTTTCTCCCACTACTAAAGACCCAAAGTGCAAGCAATTCACTGAAATATAATTGTACCTTATATATGCTAGCCCTGAAATGACACAGTTTGTGTTAAGAGGATGTTGAACCTCATCTCTCTCTGACATTTATGTCAGACTACATATTCACAAACAACAAAATTTACTGATAAACAAACAAATAATAGCGAGGACTGAACAAGCATTGCTATTAAATTCATATCAAAATACCATTAACTACATGTACAATTACTGAGATGTCATCAGATTCTAATTCAATTGACAAATACACCCACGTCCAGTTTAAACAAAGATTTCACTAATAAAATTTGTGGGACAACAAGTAAGCAGAAAAAAGTCTTGACGAAAAAAGACAGAGTGGTTTAGAGGAAATGACGATATTAGCAAGGTGCTTGCAGATAATTATCTATGATTACCTGATTGGCTAATTTGAAAGATACCCTTCTTTTATGAGACTAAATTTGATTTGGTTACCCTTGAGGAGAGAAAAACTTATGATGCTAAATGACAGCAAATGGCTTGCCAGATTAAAAATCAATATTTTGAAAATGTTGGAGAACTAATGTCATACTGGCTCAGTGTTCAGGGAATAAGACATTAATTTTCTGTTACTTTTTTTGGTCTAAAATTTAAAAAGTGGTAGCAATAATGACAGAGGGGGATTCAAATTGTATGTCCTGTTAATCATTACCAGTATATTGCTGTTTCATAAATCAAACTCAAGCACGTTATTGAAAGCCACAACCTCACTACGAAAGGAAATGATAAGTAGGTTTTTTTAATGTCTACCAGTTTTTATATTCTATACTAATAAAAATAATATCTTGATATGAGAATGGTTGAAAATTAGGAATGAACGAACACAGTTTAACATCCGAGGGAGAGCATTTTTCCACCTATTCTTCTTCCAAATGCCAATGGATCTTTCATGCACACTGCCAAATTCAACAAGCACATCCATCCAAATGAACAGACACAGTTTCCTTGTCAGTCTTACTTTCTTTTAGACCCAACTTTGGATTTAAATCAGGTACATTCTAGTTGTGACTCCTACAGTGTTATAAACAACAAATAACAAAAAATTGCCACTCAATTACATTTGCATTGTTGGGGAGAGAAAAGTTTGCTCTAATTCTTTCTCTCTCTCTCTCTCCACATAGAATGGTACATGTACCGGAAAATATCTGTAGAAAAACACTGTGACGATAAGGTCACAGTTTTAATCCAAGGCTTGTACATGACAAGGAAGGAGTAGGGTCGCCAGCATAACCATCTAGGTATTCTCCATGTCCTCTGGTTGCTGAATTATTGCAATAAAGATATGTCAAACATGTCATGACACAGAAATATGTTATAAAAGATATGCTAGTCTGAAAATAACTTAGTTTGTGTTTCGTATTTGTTAAACTCCAACTCTTTCTTTCTCGGAAAAAAAACCAAATACAAAGCTCATGATGCATAAAAATCCCAAGGAAAAGTTCATTTACAATTTAAAGTGGAATACCAAAGTGTGTTTCAAGTTCTACTTAAGATAAGACAGCCGCCAAGCATAAAATATTAAACAAGAATGAAGAACCCAGAAACATGTTAAGTGTTCATATATTTTGCATTCTTCATCAGATGTACTCAATGATTCATAAGAATTTTTATCGGGTTTGTAACATGTTTTTTCCCTTATACAGTCTTGAGGTTAATTTCTTTTAGGCTTCGGATAAATCCAGGAGTACTGGAGCAACATTATAATTGTGTACTGAATATTCAGTGTTTATAATCCATTTTAATAAAACACCTGACATTGTACGTGCAAAAAATAAATCTTTAAGAGTATTTTTTTATTTGTCTAACATCAATAATAATCAAGAAAAGGTAATATTCCCCAAGCAATGAACCTGACAAGACTGTAGGCCTATAGTAATAGTAGAGTAGTAATAATAATCATTAACTGTACAATTTCATCATTAAATATTACACCCAATACAAAATAAATAGCCGGTAATTATAAAGTTTTTTTTTACAATTTATAAGTTTCTGAAGTTTCCTAAAGTGAAACTTTCTGTTTTATAGATTTACATAACGTGGTTCTAGAATTTAATCTAAAGTGAAAATTTAACAAGAAATCATGACCTAAGGAAGTAATGACATTCATAAACAACAAGCCAACAGTGAGTCTGATGTCCCCTGCCGAAATCCCAAATAAACGGATGACACATATATATTAAATGTTACAGCCGTAAAAAATCTATTGTTGACGATTCTGAAAAGCAGTAATATTTAAAGTTTTGGTTATTACAGCAGCTTTAGAAATTAATTTTAGTTTTTAAATTGCTTTATCATTAACTATACCGTTAGGAGCGGCATCTGTTGGTTTAGCACAAATAATCTCTCTGAAACACTTGGGTTGGGCAAGAACATGATACTTGAAGTAGTTTCATTTTACTTTTACAAGGTTCTTAAAACAAATTATATGTCAACTTAAAAATGCGCATGATTGAACTCTGTCAAGGCATTCACCTACACCAATTTTGAACATTCTACCTCAATTAGAAGGAGAGTTATTGCCTTCCAAAGTCTCGACCAATCAGACTGAAGTCACCAATTTGCCTAAGCAGAAAATGCTCAGCATCGAACTTCGTTATGGTATTGATGTAATGAAACTATACACGAAGTTTCACCACTATCACTCAATTAGAATCAAAGTTGTTGAGCTCCAAAGTCTCAACCAATGAAATTATTTATCGCTCTGTTTACCCTGAGCAGAAAATGCCCATTATCGAACTTAGTCAAGGTATTGATGTAATGAAATTAGAACTAAAGTTATCGTGTCTCAAAGCATCAACCAATCAAATAGCTTATCTCTGGTTACCCTAAGCAGAAAATGATCATCTTCAAACTCCATCAAGGCATTCACCTAATGAACGCCTACACCAAGTTTGAACATTCTACCTCAATTCAAAGGACAATTATTGTGCTTAAAAGTCTTGAGCAATCAAATTGCTCATCGCTCTGCTTACCCTGAACAGAAAATGCTCATTATCTAAATTAGTCTAGGTAGTAGGTATTATGTAATAAAACTATACAGCAAGTTTCATCACTCTCACTTAATTAGAACTAAAGTTATCATTCCCCAAATCATCAACCAATAAAATCAGCAGAAAATGCTCACCTTTAAACTCCATCAAGGCATCCACCTAATCCACCAAATTTGAACATTCTAGCTCAATTAGAAGAAAAGTTATTGTCCCAAGGAGTGTGACAGACAGACAGACAGACTCATTTTAATAGTCCCCTGTTTTCTTCGAAAGGCTGGGGACAATAAATTTAAGAATGTGAAAAATTAATAACAATAAACTGTATATCTGATAAGTTATTTATCTGAAAGCTGTCTTAACGGAATCCTATTTATCTCTATATTTACTTCCTTGAAAAAATTCATTTGAATGCTGCATTTTGTAAGCTTATGTAGCAAGTGTGATCAAACTTTTCAAAATGAAAATAAAAACAGATTTTAATATTTCATTGGGAAATATAATGAGTCTTATTTATTATCAGTGCATATTACAGTAGGCACAATATTCATAGCTGGGTTCTATTCTAAAATCTGTTTCCAAAAAGAGCAATTTTTGTGAAAATTTTGGTACTTGTTTCCAATAAAATATAAATTGCATTCAGAAAATAATGGTTCCCTTTCCTCTATTACCTGAAACCAATTGACCTTAAATACATCCCAGTAATATTTACCTGCTAAAAGTTCTTCTAAAGCCTTTTCATCTGGTGGTGAGATGGACAAATATTCATCTTCTTTTACTTCCCTATCTTCATCATCTGAAATATTAATCACTCAAAATACTGTGACCAACTAGTTTGGATTTTTGAAGATTATACTGTTCAAGAAAGGAAAGGATGTTAACCATCTTATTAACATAATTAATCTGTTTTCTACGTTCATACTGTATGTGCAATGCTTGCGACGAGAATTTCGGCAGGACAACGGCATTCCATTCTGGATTGAATTTTAACTTCTAATATTTTCGTTTTAATGTACAAATTGGAAGTGTATGTAAAAAAATGACCTAAGAAAAGTTGAATAAAATCATTCTATTAGGTTATTGAAAAGTCATGGTCACTAGACAACCATGTTTTTCCTTAGAAAATGAAATGGGGTTTAATGTTCTACTTTTCTGCATCAACCGGGCTGGCTAATAATTTTCATAGCGAATCAATTAATATGACATTGGTTTTCTGTTGTTGGATATTCTGTCAAAAACACATATCAAGGATTACGAAATTCATCAATTCGTGGTTTCATAAATCCTAATGTCATGACGTCTTTATTTTTCCCCAGGCATCGTGATTACTTGCCAATACCCCAAAACAATACAAAATATATATTCGAAAAATACTTCTATACACGCAGGTCATGAAATACAGACACAAAGAATGAATGCTGGATTAAAAATGAAACAACTCCAATAAGTTAAGTCCTACAAATGAGCTACTGGGCAATTGCATTATTTTGTATGGTTGTGTAAAAGCTCAAATAACCAGGTAAAATTTATGAGAAATCATTAGAAAAAATTAATTGAAAGTTAATGGAAGCTAGCACCACTGTTTAACTTTGTAGGAAGAATCTTAATACAGAACTTTCATTTATTAGAGCTTTAATTAATCAATATTTACTTGATTATCCATTTTATTTTTGGCTAAATAACTGTAAACAAGGGTATTTTTTTTCTTGGCCTAACTGTGATATGTTTTAATGCATAAGTTTATGTTGGCTTTTAGTTGCATTATAAAACCAATTAAATTAACTTAAATGTATCACAACAAAAAAAAAATAACTAAAAACCCAGAAGACAATTAAAAGCTAAGATCATGGACAACGTAAATGATAAAAAAAATCTAATGGATGAATCCTGGTGTCGGCTGTAAACATCCACTGTGCTGCACAGTAATTATGATAGTCTTTAAAATATGTACCGAGAATGGGTTTGGGGATGCCAACTTGCAATAATGGTAAAACTGTAAATTTGACAAAGATCAAAGATTAATCTTTGTTGGTCTTATGGTTGGTTATAATAGGGAAGATAGCTTTCGTGTCAAAAAGAATGAAGAGAATTTTGCAGTTTGTATAGTCAAACTGATTTTTTTTGATCAATTAATGATAATGAAAGATATAATAGATTGATAATTGGCATGTTAAACACAGAATAATTTGGGTGGAATCAGAATGGATGGACTGACTCTTCATATGTAGGCCTAACATTGAGAATCGTGGCTGCAATTTATTTCTACTATCTCAGATATATTTTAGGGAATAAACTAGTTAATTCTGTTTGAAAGAATCTTACTCTTAGAATCCACTTTCCTAGTCTCATGCATCTATCTTTAGCTTTGTGAGGTTTTTTAAATTTGTCAGGGGATGTTTCCAAACACACACCAGCAGTAGTGTCTGGATAACCATGTCTATAATTTTTGGCATACTGTAGTATATTTATTAGCTGCCTACTTTCACTCATAGCCTAGGCCACAATCCTTTATCAGAGTTACGGCTCAATATGATTACTGTATTTTTTAATTGCCCTTGGTAATTGGATTGTCATATTCATTAGGCCTCTGAATGAAAAATCAAAGATGAGTTCCTCCTAGATATCTTGGTCATTTGTTGAACTTTTGAAGCTAATTTTTTATTTGAATGTATGATATTAAATGTAAATAAAACATGTTAAGCTCAAATCAACTAATAAGCTGTTATTTCGATTATTGCCTGGTAACGCCAGTACTTGTCTGTTTTTGGTCTTACAAAAAAAATTTGATTTTTGAAAAAGATTTCTAGTAGTTAGTTGGCGAAAATAGATATTTAAAAATCCCCCGCTCAACAGCAGTACAAAAACAGACTTAGGTACAATTAAAACTAAATCTGCCAGGCAGATATGAAAGCTTTCATATTCACGGTCACTTCCTGTCACATGTCATGGGTTATATAAAGAATCTTAAAGATAGGTTGCCAGGCAACGAAACATACGCCCACAGCAGCTAAGTCGTCCGGGGAGTCAACAAGTGTTGTCGCATATTTTTACTTTTTTTCGGTAATGAAATTTATAATACACTAAAATCTGATTAAGAGTAACAACACATAAAGTAATTATCAGAAAAACATTAGAATTTGTTTGGTTTTTATAAAATTCTGCCCCATGCTAATGTTTAGTATACGAAACTTTGAATATCATGGATTTAGCTGTTTGAGTCATAAAAATTCATTGAAAATCGACTTACTTGTTCGTCTCAAGATCTTAAACTCTGTGTATCAATCTGAAGTCAATCAGATGATAACTTTAGCCTCTAGAGCGTCACAAGATTTTTCAAAGTGATCAAGGGCCGTAACTTTGGCAGTAATTATCGGAAATCGTTGAAAATCAATAAGATTCTTCGTCTCATGACCTCAAACACTGTGTTTAAATTTAAAGTCAATCGGATATTAACTTTAGCCTCTAGAGCATTCACAAGATTATTTGAAGTGATCAAGGTCCATAACTCTGGTAGTAATTATCAGAAATCGCTGAATATGAATAGGCTTCTTCATCTCATGACCTTAAACACTGTGTTTAAATTTAAAGTCAATCGGATATTAACTTTAGCCTCTAGAGCGTCCACAAGACTTTTTTGAGTGAACAAGAGCCATAACTCTGGCAGTAATTATCGGAAATTGCTGAAAATCAATAGGCTTCTTCGTCTCATGACCTTAAACACTGTGTATAAATTTAAAGTCAACTGGATATTAATTTTAGCCTCTCGAGCATCCACAAGATTTTTTGAAGTGATCAAGAGCCATAACTCTGGCAGTAATTATCGGAAATTGCTGAAAATCAATAGGCTTCTTCGTCTCATGACCTTAAACACTGTGTATAAATATAAAGTCAATCGGATATTAACTTTAGCCTCTAGAGCGTCCACAAGATTTTTTGAAGTGATCAAGAGCCATAACTTTGGCAGTAATTATCGGAAATTGTTGAAAATCAATTAGATTCTTCGTCTCATGACCTCAAACACTGTGTATAAATTTAAAGTCAATCGGATATTAACTGTAGCCTCTAGAGCGTCCACAAAATTTTTTGAAGTGATCAAGGGCCATAACTCTGGCAGTAATTATCGAAAATCGCTGAAAATGAATAGACTTCTTCGTCTCATGACCTTAAACACTGAAAATCAATAGCCTTCTTCATCTCATGACCTTAACACTGTGTATAAATTTAAAGTCAATCGGATATTAACTTTAGCCTCTATAGCGTCCACAAGATTTTTGGAAGTGATCAAGGGCCATAACTCCGGCAGTAATTATCGGAAATGGCTGAAAATCAATAGGCTTCTTCGTCTCATGACCTTTAACACAGTGTATAAATTTAAAGTCAATCGGATATTATCTTTAGCCTGTAGAGCGTCCACAAGATTTTTTGAAGTGATCAAGGGCCATAACTCTGGCAGTAATTATCGGAAATCACTGAAATCAATAGACTTCATCGTCTCATGACCTTAAAGACTGTATATAAATTTAAAGTCAATCGGATATTAACTTTAGCCTCTAGAGCGTCCACGCCGGACCGAAGGACGGACGGACGGGGGCGACGACGACAATATACAACCACATTTCAATGTGGGCGTATAAAAAAGAAAAAGAATTATTAGAATCAGCAAAAACTTCACTGAGTTATAATGAGAAACATTTCAACCGGTCAAAATTTGCTGTTATTTGTTACGATTTAAATCGGTCAAAAACTGCCTAAGTCATAACGACCAGGCATCACTTCCCATGATAAAACTTTCAAAAAAAGCACCTAACGTCCAACTTAATCGGTAACGATCAATGTTTGACCTGATTTCAAATTTCTGCAGTTTTTAAAAAGATTAAATTGAATAACGTGACTTTAATAAAAAAAAAAAAAATTGGCCAAAATCTGACTGAGTTAAAACAGGAAATGTTTCAACCAGGCATCATTTCAATTCAGGTGTTATTGATTTTGTCAACAATCTTAACTTTAAAAATAAGCTCTCACTGGTCGAATTAATCGTTTGATCAAAATTTGACCAGACTTGATAGCTCTGGGCTTTTTCAAAAAAAAAAACTAAATTTAATTACATCACTTTAAAAAACAAATTGACCAACAACTGACTGGGTTATAACGAGATATTTTAACCAGGCATCACTTTATGTCAGATGTTCGCGACGTTGTCAAGAATCTTAAAAAGAAAAAGGAATTATTAAAATCGGCCAACGGGCAAAATTTTCTGTTCCACATTTTATAAGTTGCATATACCGATTTTGATAAAACTTTCAAAAAAAGTACCTAATGTCAAACTTAATCGTTCGCGATCAACGTTTGACCTGAGAAATCCGATTTGCAGAAAATACAAAAAAATAAAAAAAAATAATGATAATAATAACTTTAACAAAAACAATAAGCTTTCATATAAAATAAAAGCAGTTTCTCTAATATTTGATACAATTTTGGAAAGATAGACCTTATAAGTCTATGTAATGGTAATGATTTCAGGTCATTACATTTTGCTTAATGATTTAACATGACTTACCTCCCTCTGTTAGATCTTCACTGTCAGATTGCGATGGAATATTAATATCATCAGAGTTCTCCGATTCATCTAATGAGTCTGAAATTAGAGTAGGAAAAAATTCTCTCATATTTAATCAAGCAAATAATTCTCTTCAATTATCTGCTAGCCAAAAAAATGATATCGCATTTAATTTCTCTCTTCTGGCAAGAGACTCGGATCTAAATCTCACTAAGAGTTAGTCAGTTTGAAAAAAAGGCTACCTGCAATCAGATATAATCTGATATGATTAAATCCTCATAATAGCGTAAAAAATTGTAATCTTCCTCTCGTCGCCCCGTCATTATTCTTCAAATAAACATGGTCTATTATTAACCTTTAGCATTACCGTTGCAAAATTTCTTTTCTAGTCACGATTGCAAATTGTTGTATTCCACTTGCGGCAAATCTTAAGAAGTTTGAATGTTAAAAAAGTATTTTACGTAAGTTTAATTTCTTCCAGGTAAATTTGTGAACAAAAAAACATTTACTGCTAAAAATTTGTTCAATTGATTGCGTACAATGCAGGTTTCATATCTATAATAATATATAATATTTATGCACCGAAGCACTTTTGCCCTGAAGAAATGTTCTTCATATTCCAGAGTTCTTCTAATCCGAGGGGCTCAAAACTTATTAGAGTCTTCACATTACAATCAAATCAAAATATACCGAATTAGAAAGATTTCATCACATGCCTATAGCAATGCAAAGACAATTATACCAAGAACATATTATTATATGTTCTTTTACTTTTTAAATAATAGCTGACTAATAAAATTGTTTGAGATACTTTGGTACCAAACGACTATATAAAAAAGAGACCAGTTGCACAATCTCTCTTAAACCTGAGGAGATTAGAGAAATCTGGGATGGCTGTCTGCCACTATAAATAGATTTCAAACTTCATATCTCAGTAATTAAAAAATATGTATGATTTTAATGTAAAGACTAGTGCTATTATGAATATATATATATATATATATATATATATATGATGTTAATATAAAGACTAGTACCAGTATTATTATGTAATTAAGCACATCCAAGTATAAATTAACCTGCATGAAGATGGGCTGATTTGTGGCTGACTTTGTGTGAAAAAACATAGCAAAATTTTCATTAAATCTAAAGTAGATGGCAGTTTGAAATCAAAAGAAACTATAATGTAAATTTTAAATTTTCAGAATTTAAATATTGATCACTTTTGATTGTGTATGACACTGTATGGTCTCAAAATCTGCATGTAAGCTTACCCATTTGAAACCTACCTTCATAACCATGACCACCCGTACCACCACTCATGGAAGCTTCTAAACCAACTTCTTCTGCATTACTTTTAGTCTGGCTCTGAGGATAGGCAGATTGATCAAATTCGGAAGATTTAGCTGAATTAGACAATCTGTCAAGTAGACTTAAATAGGCTTGAATTTCCTCAGGGTTCTCAAACTCTCTATTACCTAATCTACTACTTTCTACCTCTGTATCAGGAGAATTGTTGCTGAGGTAGTTGTAAGGTATGTCATTATATTCAGAATAGGAGTCCCTTTTTAAACCTTTTGATTGATCAAAGTATTTGTGTACTTCCACAATTTCATCACGTTTATCGGAATTTGTTTGTAAATCGTCCCAGGAAAAGTTTGAGTCATCTGCCCTGGATTGGAAATGTGGGCTTTTGTCACCCTCACTGGATTCCAGGAGTTTTTCTAATACTGCTGCAATTTCATTTCGGGCATCATTCGACCACTCAGAATCTCTTTCTTTTGTAAGCACAAATTCACAGAACTCCTTTAGGTTGATACTTTCGCTTCTGGCGAAAGCGAGGAGGGTGTTTTGTAGAATGCATTGTGTGAAGGCATCACTCCATGTGAAACCATCATCTTTCAGTTGTTGTAATTCTGCCTCCACTTGTTCAAGTTCAGTAGTGCTGAGGTCATAGGTTACTCCCAGACTTATTCGACCAATTGAGCGACAGCTGCCAAATAATTTGTCTGAAAAGAGAAAAATATTGAAAACATTTAAAAAAAATGCTCATTGAAACAAAAGAAATCAAACCAAAACTATTTAAAGATTAGTTTTGATTCCTCAGTCAAATTTTAAAAAACAATAAGCATGAGGCAAATGCTATCGATTGCCAACAATGCATGGTTAACACGAGAAATGACCCTGTCTTTGTTTCGATTAGTAATATTTACTTGGCATTTTATTACAGTTACTTTCTAATAAAAATTGTAAGGACTGGTGTAAGTATATCTAGGACTGAGTCAATGATTTGAGGAAAATATTTTCTCATATATGACTTCTAGTTTGTCTATGTTCAGTAGGGAATTTAATTTCTGAAACTGATGGTTGGGAAAAATCCCACCATTTTTCATCGGTATAAACTACTTGTATTGTACATGTATGTTAAAATTTCAAGGCTAAAATTTAGTTCCAATTATACCAAGTCAGACATTAAGCTGTAATCATCTATTCAAAATAACAGTGGAAAGAAAATCTGTATTCTTCACATAAATACAAATATATTCGCAGAAAGATTAAAAAGTCTTGTAATTTGTTATGGTGATGAATAGATGTTAAGAAAATCGTTACCAGCTTCCGGAGAATAGATAGAAAACTGTCATTGTTCTTATTATATTGAAACTTTCAACATCTTCAACAACAATATAAGTTTATCAGATCTTCTTTTAAGATCTTAGAAATCTGACTTACAACAAAACTAGCTGATTTATTCAAAAATGATGATTATAAGAAAGGCAGAAGCAGATCAAGAGAAAAACTGCCTGCCGGCTATTTTGTTGCTAATTAGCCCAACTATGTGTGGTGGTTTCCGTGGTAATTTAGATACAGCGCTTCTGGTGCTTGTTAAAAAAGAAAAATGGTGTTTGGGAAAAAGACGTTAATTTCAGTTTTAGCTTCTTTCTAAGTATTATACGTAATTTCTATATCTGGAAGCCATATTGTTTTCTTGTGCGACTTGCTGAGTAACCAAGATGTCCTCTAGTTTCTTGTTTCTTAAATACCAAGGTTCAGTGTTTTTCTAAGTCGGTGTACACGACAAACAAATAAATCGATGAGAGGAATTTGAAACCTTGACATGGCAGAATGGAATCCAAACTTTAAAACTAGGCTATAACATATTACTATCACAAAGGCGACGGTTACATGTTTAACAGAATATGGTACAAGATATACATAAGTTTAAAAATCACATAATAATGATCTAACTTCCAGACAGTACATGACATAAATTTATATTTTAAATTCTGGAATGATTGATAAGACAGTTCCCTTTCTATCAAAATGTAACCAGACTTGGAATTGCTTGTATTAAATTAGAGCACATACAATGAAAACATACATGAAGCTAGTTTGATTATATACATTATACACGAATCACACACAATCAGATTGAAACTATCCGATCTATGACTGTTTACATGTACACGCACATTTGAAAATATTTTTCAATTTTTTTCATTTCATTAGAGTATGTAATATCAGAGAAGATGGTCAAGTGAAGCCACATGCATAACATATGACAGCATCTCAAATACATCAACATTTGACATATGCAACAATAGGTTCAAACAACTATTATTGGTTATTTCTAGCAGATCGTTTAAAATATGTAAATTAAAAGTGAATGTAGAATGGATTAAATATGGCGCAGGAAAGCTTGTGTCTTTTTGGCTCCATTATAGCTAGCCCAATATACATATACAATGATGAGCCAGAAAAACTTTTATAATTCAGACGTGTGACGAAGATTACAGAACACATTTACAGCTATGGTGGGTTCTTTGATGATCTACCTACATGTACAGACATCTTGATCACCCAATCAACACGCGTAAAACCATGAATAGTCAGGAACCAATTAATTTACTATTAGTCTCGTGCTAGTAAAACTGGAAGGGACCATAGGTTTTCATTCTGTTTGTCTGTCCATCCGTCTATCATTCTTGTAACTTTAAGATTTTTGATTGAACTTTTGTAGGTTTCTGTATAAAGCAGAGTTACAGATCAAGATCGGGTTTCTAGGGATTCCATTACTTTTTTTTTATTGAATTATGGCCCTCTGTTGATTTTGACATAAAATCTGTTTTCTAGAATTATTTAAGGTTAAACCTTGAAGTATTTGACTGAAGGCTGATACACTGCCAGATACGTAAAGAGCATAGTTATAGACCAATTAAATGAAAATTCAGCTTTACAAATTGGCCATCTATTTCATAGATTTCCAAAAGAAAAATTATTAGCACTCAGTCTGTAACCTGGAACTGTTCCATACAATTTTCAGTGTGTAAATGGGTCAAAATTCATGACTGTGGCAAATGCTGTGCTTATAACCTGGGACAGTCTAGTCAAGAGTCCAGTGGCCGTGCTCCCACTTAAATTACCTTGGATGAATATTGTAGTCTGGAGGCTCAGTGCGGAGGGGTGTCCATCAAATGGGCACAAAATCAGACCCAACTTTTCTGTAGTAAAATTTCGCGTAGAATATGATGTCTGGTGCCAATCAGTCTGGCGTTGGGGCGTTTTCAAGATATTTGGGGTCAAAGGTCAAATGAGTTCATTTGCACTGAAAGTGAATGGGCAGCCATTCGTGTATCAATAAAAATGTAAACTTGCTAAATTCACCATTGTTCTTTGTGATCCCGGAGGTCAAAAGGTGAAATTTTCCGTTTTAGCACTAGGAAAATTTAAAGCAATAAATGTCTCTGTAAAATCTAAAATCTAAAGCGAAACCTGTTCTAATTAATAATAGGAATATTTAAAATGTATCTTTAGGTGGTCTTAGCAAACACTTCCAAACCTGTTTCAAAAATATGTAAAAACAATGGCGGACTGATTACCACTCGGCATCGTATTCTACGCAAAATTTTACTATAGAAAAGTTGGGGCTGGTTTTGTTGCTATTTGATGTACACCCCCGCGCACTGAGCTTCCGGTCTATTGAGACAAAATATATATGATGTTGGGTTTTTTTTTTTATTATTATTTTAAATTCATTTAGCAGTTAGGAGTAACAGTTTTATACAGAAATACGGTATTGCCCATAAAAATGTGCTGTTCACGTTCATAACAAAAATATTTATGATGTTGGTTTTTTTTTATTATTTTAAATTCATTTAGCAGTTAGGAGTAACAGTTTTATACAGAAATATGGTATTGCCCATATAAATGTGCTGTTCACGTTCATAACAAAAATATTTATTTGAAAGATGCTACTTTAAACCCAATCCCAAATAATCCCTACATCACACTGCAATCACAATATGGCAAACCTTTTTCAGCTCTAAAAGAGATGACCTGTATTAATTAGTTAAGTTCCCACACAGAGAGTATTTCCTACTCATTAACGGATGTCATTAAGGCATCCATTCTCAAGATTTTAGTCACAAAGACCGTGCCTGCAGTTACTTAAGCTCTCCTGAGACGGAGGAAATTAAAGGCTTTCTATGATTTCTGCTGGATATCATCACAGAGTCAGTAGTTGTTAATGTATATCGTGTCATGCGTGTTTAACTTATCTTTTTATGATAATATATCATACTTTGAACTTTGATCATTCTAAAAAGAGTTCATGGAAATCCTTTCATATAACTGTCTTCAATAGCATGTTACATTTTCTACATGATATGGATTTTATTCAAATTTGAATGACAGTCCAGAAAACATATAGGTAATGTACCAAAATATACAAGAACACAAATTGCTGAAGGTCTGTCAGTTAAATTAAGCATTTTTTTAAAAATTTTAATTATAATTTTAAGCACAGTAATTTGCTTGAATAAATGTGACATATAAACTCAATTTTTAAAATACTATCAATTATTCAGTTACAAATTGAAAAAAAAAACTAACACCCAATGTATCCTACAAAAGGCGATTCTTTCTAAAACTCAAATGTAATGACATTGTACTGTTAAATACCCTATTTTGCCTCATTCAAAATTTTGGCAATAGTATAATCTACATGTACATGTAGCACAATTTTTCAACGGTGTCAATTTTACCATTAAGTGCTGTAGCTTTGTCCCTGTGGTACATCATATTATGAACAAATCTCCATCTAAGTGTTTCTGAATAAGAAGATACATGTATTTAAAGCCCTTTTAGAAACACATCAACCAAAACAGCTTTTAAATGTCTTTTAATGTTGAAAATGTAGATGTCTCTGGAGTCCAAATTCCATTTTTAAATGGCTAAAATGTATCAAATGTAGCTAGTCAAACAAAGCTAGTCAAAAATATTTATTCAAACATGGATATCAATTTCATGCATATACATCACAATACAGGACTGAGCACACTTACTAAGGCATCAAGTTGCCAAAGATAAAGCAATTTGTCTATTAACAATAAATTCATCTGATACCAATTTTTACAGAAATTAAAACAATTTTTAATTGGCTATCTCTTTGCTATCTATCTATGTTTTCAGACATATCCATTACTATATTAAGAAACTGGTTTCCTTTTATAGACAAGCATGGTTGAATCTTGACCTCTTCGCTAGATACTACGATTTTCTCGTCCTAAGCTACAATGGAAGGGATTTTCTCGTCCTAAGCTACAATGGAAGGGATTAGACCTGATTCCATTCAAACACTGCTGGACTGACTGATGATTCCTGTCCCAAATTATGAATGGTTAACAGTATGGTTAACTGCCAATCCATTACAATGTAACAAATAAATTAACCTGAGCTCTAAACATGTTAACGTAAAAGTGTATAATGACAATCATGGCTACATTACATTACATCACAACACGCAAATTCAGTATGAGCGATAAATCAGAATAGTAGAATATTGCAGAAAAACTATGAGGCTATTCAAAATAGCTGAATGGGTAATTGCCACATAAATAGACACACTCCATCAAAAACCCAAGTGCAGCAATGGCAGGGGTGGGGGTGGGGACTTTCTGGACCATATTGCTTCACTGCTTCAGGAATATGTGTCAAAGTGCATCAGTTTGAG